GCCCAAACGCCCCCCCCCCCCCCAAGTCTCTGTTGAGCCCTGTGGGCCATTGTGGAAAATCACAGCGTTGTACTGAATCTGTCAGTTTGTTTATGTCTCTTTATTAGGAGTATCTGTTTACAGTTAGCCTGTTCAATAAAGGCATAATCCTGGCTGAGAGTCTCTTAGAAATATTATTGTGAAAATTTGCCTCATAATATGATTGCATCCTGTTTTGTGTGGAGCTAAAGGATATTTAACTGTATTCTGATTTGCTTCATATTGTAATGAAGATGTAATTGAGATTTTTGTTTTGGATATCTTAGAAGTTCAGCTCTGGCTGCTGTGGAGCAGATACATGGTTTCACTATCATTATTGTTAAGTTGGCTCCTACAGATCCATTCCATTAATGGCTGTGTTTTCATCCAGTGCAAGAAAACTTCTGCCACAAGCCTGTTTCACTGAAAGAAGATCCCTTGTGCTGGAGGAAGTTGCCGCTGCTAGCATAAAGGATCTTTGCCACTTCCCTCCTTACACCATAGTGTTGTATCCCACAAGATGCTATATGCTTTTTAATTTTGTTCCAATATTTATTATTCCAGTAGCTTTATACTGTCTTGCTGGTAAATATAAAAAACTGGCAAATAGCCAGGAGCCTGGATCGAGTCCCCTGTAAGCTGCTTCTCTTCCATCCCCTCCCCAGCCCCTTTGCACTACTTTTAGTATAGTCATAATACTACTGCTACCTAACTAACTAGTTTTAAGGGATTAATGAGATCTTACACGTAAAGGGCAACCTGGATGCTAAGTACTAGCATGCTTTGTCTGCAGACCTCACTCACCTCGATCTGTCTTGTCCAGAAAGCTTTTCTGCACCCCTTGCCACCTTCTCCACGTCTAACACCCTAAATTTGCATTACTGGCTGTGAGTAGTAGCAGTATGTTCAGATGCTGCAGGTTATGAATTTATTTCTACTTAACCTTAAATTTATTTATTTATTGGATTTATACCCCACCCTCCCCGCCGAAGCAGGCTCAGGGCAGCTTACATAAAAGCGTCAAAACAGTTTAAAAACCGTATTTATAGCATGCATACATTTCGTTCCAAATTCCATCTTTTTTAACAGCTCCCTCGGGTAATTGATACTTTGAAATAAAAATTATTTAAAAAGAAAACCAGTTTAAAAGTTTCTGTAGATTTTCCGGGTTGTGTGGCCGTGGTCTTGGCATTGTAGAACTGTGACTGGCATCCTCAGAGGTATAACACAGAAAGATCTTGACATCTTTGTGTCAAGATGGAGTACTCTCTGTGTGTTTAAAAACGCATAAAATCTAAAGTGCAATGCATACATATATTCCTGTGTGACGGCAGTCATAATCCAATGTTTCCGTAACAGGAGTCAGTTAGTACAGATTTAGATGATGCAAACAATCCCAGGGAGGCTCCAAGTTATCAGGACGTTAAGTGTGGTCAAATGCCTAGTAGAAGAGCTCCGTCTTGCAGGCTTTGTGAAATTGAAGTAAGTTCCACAGGGCCCTGGGTGTCCTCAGGGAGCTCTTTCCACCAGTGCGGCGCTGCCACGGAAAAGGCTCTAGCCCTGGTAGTGGCCAGTCTGGGCCAGGGAGCACTAGGAGATTTTGTGTCCCTGAACGCAGTGCTCTCTTGGGAACATGTGAGGAAAGGTGGTCCCTTAGGTATGCTGGTCCCTGACCATATAGGACTTTATAGGTAAGCACCAGCACGTTGATGTAAATTCGGCATGCTATAGGCAGCCAGTGCAATGCTTTCAGCGCAGGCTGGATGTGTTCTCATGGAGAGAGACCCAGTGGCAGCCTGGCTGCCGCATTCTGCACCAGCTGCAGCTTCCGAATTTGGGACAAGGGTATATCCGTGTAGAGAGTCTAATCTCGAGGTGACCATTGCGTGGATGACCATTGCCAAGTCACTACATTCGAAGAAGGGAACTGCCTAATCAGCCAAATTGTGTTACATTAGATGTGATGCTGTCCTCCAGCTTTTTTCTTTAACCAAAAACAACTTGAGGGGAAATGTAAATATCTAAACTATATTGGCCAACATGATGGGCTTTTCAGATTCCCATAAAGTTTACAAACTTTTGAATGATTCCTCTGTTGAAGTAACTGAGAAAGTGGCTAAGTTCCTTCAATCCGCCATGCTGCTACGCCAAGGAAAAGTACAGGTGCAGCCTATTATTTTATTCAATGTATTTGTAATACAGTGTCCTGCTTCTATACTTTGTTCTACTGATATATGCCAATAAAGTCTGACTTGACTTTGTGTTAAGGAAAGCTTGATGAAAACAAATCATAGGGTACAAATTAGTGAAAGGAGGCCGTACAATCCAACCCAGAAGTATATTGTTGAAGGCTTTCACAGCCGGAGTTCATTAGTTGTAGATTTTCCGGGCTGTATGGCTGTGGTCTTGGCTATCTTTCACCAGTAGCTGTGCCTGGCATCCTCAGAGGTATAACACAGAAAGATGGAATACTCTTGGTGTCAATGTGAGAAGAAAAATGGTAGACGGGTAATTTATATCTACTCAGGAACCCGGAAGGTTTAACGACTCACAGAAACTGCTACTTCTGTGGGTTGTTTTTACCGATTTGTATTTTGTAGGCACATCGAGCTTTTCTTTTTAAAATGCAAGCTGGGATGTATTTACAATTAAATAAATAAACTTCCCAGTTGTATTTCAGAAGAAGGAAAACTGAGTGTTTGAGTTTGTAACTTGAATGTAATGGGATGTAAGTTCGCAGATGATACTAAAGCAGAGGCGTTGGACCACTGAGTCCAGTAGCATAAGTAGCTTATGAAGTTGCTTTTTTAGTTCCCTGCCAATGACTTTAATACCGCCTATCATAATGAACTCCAGAGCAATTCAGTCTTGATTTTTTCCCCAGAACCATCCTGGTTTTGAATAAAATTACCTAGTTTCCTGAGTGAGCGCCTGTGCATGTGTGTCTTTTTTAAAGTATTAAATAATCTCTGTCTGATTTTGTTATGTGAATGGATTTCCGTTATGTATTCCTATTGTATCTTCCTGTCATGATGAGCCAGAATTTGGGCCATGCAATTTAAACTCCTGTTACAGCGTTGAAAAATAAAATTTGACAAGTCATCCCCTCCTTTATGGATATCAGCAGCTAATTATGCCATTGTCCTCAAATATTATAGCATGATAATGGAAAATAAAAGCATTGAATCTAGGACAGAAATGTTCTGATTTTCTATTAGTGCTGTTGAGATAAAAATTTTCACCAGCAGCCTTTTCTGAATAATACATTTCTGTAGGCTTTTGTCCCCTTTATTCAGTGTCCTTAGAAGAACGTCTCCTTTTCTAAGACAATAGATGGTAAATTTCAGTGAGGCAAGAAACAAAGTTTTAACAGTCAGATTCCTAAGATTGCCTGCTTTGGTTGTCTTTATATTTTGAACCTTTGATGTTTCAAACTTTGCACCCTATAGAGCATCTTTTTGTAAGTTATTTCTGTAACGAGGATGTTATCTTCCTGCTAGAGTCCTCTGTTCCTATGGCGCAGTGGTAGAGAGGGAGGGATGGGTTGTATATCGGAATTACCTGAAGCTGGTAGGTTCAGAGGACTGCCACACAAGAACACAGAAAGCCTCCTGAGAGTCTGGGGTTTGGGGGTCAGAAGGAGCAAGCCAGATTGCCTCTATGTGTGTAAGAAGTAGATATGGTTTGTGTGTAACAAAGATGACACTTGGACAAAGGTTGGGGAGACTTCTGAATATGTCCAGTTGTTGGGTTTGGGAGACTAGCGCTGATGCCATCTAGGGGAAAAGGTCTTCTAGATTTTCTGAAACACCTGAGAACTTCTTGTGTTCTGCTGACATTAAACCAAATTAGTCCACTGTTTACTAACTCTTACATATCCACCTTCTTTATTCTTCCCCTAGGCGACAGAAGGCTAGGGAGAGGCAGCAGAAGTTGTTAGCTGAATTTGCATCAAGACAGAAAAGCTTTATGGAAACTGCTATGGATGTTGGTAAGTGTTTAATCTTGAATCTTGTATACTGTTGAGGTCTGATGAGCAAATGAAGCTAAAAGTAAATTAGGACAGAATTAATGAAGGGGTGACTGCTACCAGAAGAAAATTTGTAGGGAGCAAAAAAGCAATTACTAGGGGTATGCATGAAAAAAATCGGCTTTTTTCAGATTTGGGTCTATTGGACCTGAAAAATATCAATATTTCCCAATATTCCTGAATCCCAGTATCAGTATGATACTGGGATTCGAGTAAATAATTGGGAAACCCTAATTTATTTGGCATTTAAAAATGCCTTCTCCCTTCACTTGTGGAAGCATGCCGTGGTGGCAGCGCAACTCAGAGGGTGAAGGAAAGTAATTTAAAAATGCCTTCCCTTCACTTGTGGAGTTGCATCGCCGCCATGGCACACCTCCACAAGTGAAGGGAAGTTAAAATACTGGTAAAGTATTTTTTGGGTATTCATTCAGTTCAGTTTATACCGAACACACACTCCTAGCAACTACTGTATTCGGTCTCAATTTTAGGATACCTAAACAGTTTTTTAAACTGTGTCCAGTAATAGATCCATGGAACCAGAAGCTCAGTTTCAAAATGAGGTTGCGGCCAAGTCCTGTTTTAGATTTTATTGTATTAACAAATGTATTGATGACTGTTCTTTCAAACTTTGCACATTCATGTGCATGCTGAGCTGGCAGGAGCAGAGAAGAACATGATGGAACTCTGGGGCCTTGCTGTGAATGTTTTGATGAGGTGACAATGAGTGATCACTGCATATCTATCTGATAATGTCCGCCAGCAATGAGTAGAACCACTGAAGGATAATTTCTTATTTATGTATTGTATTTATTTGCAAAACTTTTACTGCCCCATCAGGGCCACCAAAGCAGCTAGCTGTTAAAACAAGCATTATAAAAACATAAGAACAATTAAAACCAAAGGTTTTATGTTCTTCTTATGAGTCTTCACCTGCTGGCAGAAAATGTACCATCAAAATCATCCATCATTTCCATGGCATGAGACCAGCCTTAGGCTAAAAGAGAAACACATATTCAGCCATGACCTTCAAAGCTGTCTTGATTGCATGCAAATAAAATAATCTCCTCTTAGTTTTCATCATTTATGATTTTTTTAAAAAAAAATCCATTGAACATGATTGGTAATTTAGTGTTCCTCCAACAAAGAATTCATATGGAATTTCTTTTTGACAAGGGGGGTAATAACATTGCCTGCTGAGTCTCATTTGGATTAATTAAGGGGGGAAATACAGTCTTCCAGTCCCTGAATGGAAATTGGGGGGGGGAGGGGTTTGATAGGAAAAAGGTACGTACTCTTTTTAATAGCAAGGTGACACAGGTTTTTTAGCATCTCCTCTTCTGAATCCAGATAGGGAAATAAATTAGTTTTGACTAGTCCTCTGAGAATATACATGCTGGGCAAGAGCAAAAGATATTAACATTCTAATAGTTGCTTCAGTGCTTGGGGACCACCTTGACACACAGTGGTTCTGCAAGAGCAATGTTGCTTCCAGTTACAGATTGTAAACACTATTTAGTATGTTGGGATATTAGCTGTTTCTTCCATTGATTGGCTTAAGTGCAGCAAACACGAAGGCATTTAGTACCAACTTCGGCGTTGATCTTATGAACCAGAGATATTACCTCCAGCACTGCCTGATGTTCGTTTGTTTTTTAAAGATCCCATTCACTAGATATTGGCTTGGATCTTGCCTAAAATTTCTCTGCACGGAACAGGAGCTTTTTTCACCAATTTCGCTCTCACACAGTGGACACCCAACTTCCCCCTCCTGTGCTTTTCTTGGAGGACCCCAGGCCAAGGAGCTGCAATGGGGGGGAGGCAGGCTTGTCATGCTCCATAGATGGAAATCCCTTCTGTCTGCAGAAATTTTAGGCAGAACCAAAGGCTAAAGTTCATTGTCTGGAGCTGATTAGGGGCATGGAAGTGTGCCATCTACAATTTTATTCAATTTTTGGTAATCCTTTGTTAGCTGAAAAGCAGCGTGGCTAGTGGAAATCACTGAGCACATTTGTTTTTCCTATAACAGTGCCAGGTAGTCCCAGTAATGGCTTAGAGCCTCCAACGGCTTCAGTAACATACAACATCAGTATGAACCCTTAAGAATGTTAATCTCTCTTTAATAAACCAGTGCAGAGAAACCACTAGTTCCAGATGATAATAATTAATAATAATAGTGCTTGTGAACTTTTATTTTGAGCTGCTTTAAGCCTCTTTCTACCTAAGCCTTCATGCAAACATTAATTGAATCTTTTGCAATTTATCAGTAAGGCCATGTGACCATGTGTTGGCCAGCATTTAAATATAAACTAGGAAGGATTAAAGTTATTAATTTAGGCCAACGGTATGGCGGCTTTGAAATCTTGGCGCAGAACATTTTTTTTGAAGTGTATATAAATAGCACATGAATTTTGTTCCAAAATGCAAAGCAGCCATGAACACCATGGAAATGTACTCCTACAGTACATAAGAGCAGTGAGAATGCTTCAGAGATTTAGTAGTTAACTTCTTGATTTCACCAATGTAAAACAGCAACTTGAGTTTCTCAGTAAATACAATTATTTGAGGATGCTTTTTAAAAGGACTTTTCGCCCTAGAATGAACAACACAGACAAATCATACTGTCGTATTAATACATTACCAGATTGATACTGTATAAATACAGATTCGGATTATGAATCCTATTTAAATCCAATTGATTTCAGTGAAAGAGAGAAGCATATAGTTTGTTTAAATTTCCCATTAATTTAGTAGGTCATAAGCAATGAACATTTGCAAAACCACATCCTTAGTTTATGTTCTTTCACATGAAAGTGCAAACTTAAATGAAAGAGTTAATTAGATTTAATAGTTAACAAGAGGTGAGTGAATTGTTTGGGAAACATATATGCTTGTATATTGGCTTATATTGTTTTGGTTTAATTGTTAACTACTTTGCCTCTGGCAGGGCAGAAAGGAGGGGTATAGATTTTTTAACTTACACAGTGAATGTTTATGATATTAACATTGAATATTAATTTTTGTAGTGAAATTGGATTCTCTGTCATGGTAAGCCTTAATGTTTGAATTGGCATATTTTCGAAACCTCACACAAAAAGAATTTTAGCTGCAAATACCCGCCAATTCTATATGTTCTTTAAAACATGCATTAGTGAGAGGGCATCATTCTTTTTTTTCTTTTTTTTTTGGTGAATGTGATTAAAAGAAAAAAGCGCTTTTCCTTGAGCTCCTCTAAGAGTTTAAAATGTACACGATTGATTTACCTCCCCCCCCCAAAAAAAATGTACTGCACATAATTTCCCAGATAACTACATATATGGTGCTTAGGTGTTTTTTTTGGGGGGAGGTGTCTATTAATATATTTTTCTGGCTTTTTTTCCACTTCACTTCTGGTTCTTCTGGTTGCCACTAGGTGGTGATAAACGCTTATAAAGTATAGCTTTGATAACCCGCAGAGAAGTCCAAAAAACAAATGTCATGAAATGTCCTTTATTAGGATCAGCCAGTGTATCACAGAAATAGTGTGCTGTGTCATGATGTCTTTGTAGGTCCTAATACAGTATTACGTGATTTTAGTGTATTAATTAGGTGATGCCTGTTATCCTTGCTTTTTCTTTGGGGCCTGTTGTAGAAAAAAAAGGTTGTCTTCCTTTTGGCCACTAGATTGTCAGATACTGAAGCATGATTCTGGAAGTACATCTGTTCTCTTCCTGGCTCCCCCCCCCCACCATTGTATCCATTGTGATTGAAAGATGCCCCCTCCTAGTCTGGAACATTACTTTTAGGAAAGCTAATGGTACCCTGACATAGCTTGCAGTTTGACATGCACCTCTCATGCATGTGTGTGTACCAACTTTACCTCCATGGGGGCCTAATCCTGCTGGGGAGTGCAGTGCATGGGGAAGAAGGGCTTCTGCCTCCCCCACTATTGTGAAGATCCAAAATGATAGGCTCTCCCACCGCCATCTCCAGGAGGATCAGGCCCCTGCAATGTTTTGAAAAGTAAAAATCCAGCATTGAAAATGGGACCATATCCCTGTGATGGACTCAAGGATGCTAGTTTGGCCCTAAGAATTGAAATATCCAAGACAAAAGAGGTCTTCTTGGTTCATGGTACTGAACATCTAACACATTCCAAAGTCAGTAGTATAGCAGAATTGCTTTTATATTTTATATATATCTTGTATTTTCTTCAGCATTTTTTAAACTTGTTTTTTCTTTCAGTCTGTGTCTATTGTATCTTAATAACTGCTGCCACCCAAATATTACCAAGTCCATGCTTGTTTTAGTATGGAAATTTACAGTAAGCTCCCTGTTGGAAAAAATTAAACGTCAAGTATACTAAACTGGAAAAATGCACTGCGTATTGTGGTAGTTGAAATGACAGACATTTTAACTTTTTCCTTTCAAGAATCTCTTGTTAATTCCCTCTGCCCTTTTCCTCCATTCATCAGAATCGCCAGATGCAGATATTGCTATGGAGATAACAACAGCGGAACAGCATGTTTCAGAAGCCATGTACGATTGTGTGATTTGTGGCCAGAGCGGCCCTTCCACTGAAGATCGACCAGCAGGATTGGTTGTGCTCTTACAGGCCTCTTCAGGTATGGCTGAAGAAACAAACCTTCTTGGTTTAAGAGGGACTGCTGAACTGCATCTGCTGTGCTTCAAGAAAGTCAGAGTGTGTCAGTGAGCCCCTGTGGGCACAGTTAAATAGTAACCATGTGATTTGGTGTAGCTTAGTGGCTATCCTGCTAGGATGCCTGTAGCTCGAAACTTACCTCTGCCATGAAAGTATCGGGTGTATTTAGATGATGAAGAAGAAGAGATTGGATTTATACCCCGCCCTTCACTACCCAAACGTGTCTCAGAGCGGCTTACAACTCCTTTCCCTTCCCCTCCCCACAACAGACACCCTATGAGGTAGGTGGGGCTGAGAGAGCTCTTGACAGAAACTGCTCTTTTTTCAAGAACAGCTGTGCCAGAATTATGGCTTGCCCAAGGTCATCCAGCCAGGTGCAAGTGGAGGAGTGGGGAATCAAACCCGGTTCTCCCAGATTAGAGTCTGCGCACTTAACCACCGCACCAAACTGGCTCTCTAGATAAACCGAGATCTCTCAGCACCCCCCATCCCAGTGCAAAATGGGAAAACTAGTATTGGATTGTTTATAATGAGAAGATAATGGGCGTGAAATGTTTTAGAAACCCTGGTGGGCCAGATCTTCACATGGTCCCACCCACTTTCTAAAAACACTTGTTGGGTGCAAGGAAACAGTGTCTGATTGGCCACTGGAGATCTGATTGAAATAATGCCGGGCAGATTGAAATAATGTTTCAGCAGCTGCTGCCTTTTATTCTCTCTCCTATTTCCCAGTATATTTTTAAAATTACCTATCTTCTTCCATCCACTTGGGCTTCCTCTGCGTGTATGTCTCTGCCTCCTGCAGCACCCATTTTGTAGTTGGATCCACCTCCTGTAGCAGCCATTTTGTGACTGTGCCCCCCCCCACTTTGTGTCAATTCCAAAGAGGCCCGCAGGATCAAAGACTGGGAATCTGTGCTTTAGAGCATTCAAATTGGATCCAAAGAACCTTGAAAGGAGCTTCATGCAGAGATTTAAGTTTCCCACCTCTGCAGACCATCCGCAGCTTCCCGAAAGCTGTTTTTGAAGGCCAGGGGGCTCTGTGCTCAAATGGGAAATACACTTGTATATAAACAATTTCGGTTCATGGACGGGGCACGTTTGGAGGCAACCCTGAACTGTTCTTACTTTCTGAAAGTTAAGGTGGAGCTAGTTGTGAGTGTCTTTTTAAAACTGAAATGTTAACATAAATATTTTAATAAATAAATAAATTCCCTAACCCTGCACAACTAAGCATGCTCATTGGATTCAGTAGGATACTCCAGAGTGTGTATTTTAAGGAATACCGTTCCTATGTAGAGATGTGAAGGCCTGGGAAAAAACTGGAAAAATTCGGGAAAAACCCGTTTCCCCCGTTTTTTTCCTGAAGCCTTTTTTTGTTTTTTTCTGAAAAATTGGAAAAATTGAAAAAAGAAAAGAAAAAAATTGATTATGGAACATTTTATTTTAACATGATGAATAAAATATTTTAAGACAAGGTGTTCAGATATTTTCCAAATCATTTCTGAAAAATAGCAGGGAGCGGTGGCGCAGGCGGTAAAACGCCTGCTGTAATAACATCTATGAACAGCCATTGTGGCTGTTTGAGAACCACTGTGGTCGGAGTGAGCTCCCGACCCTTAGTCCCAGCTCCCGCCCACCCAGCGGCTCGAAAGCAAAAATAACACCTAAAATAGCGAGTAGAGAAATGGGTACCTACCCTTAGATGGGTAGGGGGCACCCTCCTTAAATGGTGTGTGGTGTGTGGCGGCGGCGCGAGAATGGCGCAGACGGCAGCAGAGAGAGAGCGAGAGACGGCAGCAGAGTGAGAATCATCAGCGGCGGTGAAGCAGTGATGGTGGACGCGGTCGAGCAACCCCTGGTGGCCAGCAAAAGAAGAACGTGTGCAGCCGGTGACGTCTAAAGGCAGAGACCGGGAAGCGAGCGACGGAGTGCAATCGGGGCGCGGCGGAGCCTCCTGGACAGAGCCGACGCCGGAAGCAAGCATGAAGCGTGCGCTTGCGCGGTCCTGCCTCAGCCGCCCAAGAAGCCACCGGAGACTGCCGCCAGGGAGTCTGCCGAAAGAAGACGCCAAGCCGACCCAGAAACAATAAGAAGATCCATCACCTGGGTGCCAGTAGGCTGTCCCCGCCCCAGAAATATGTGTGGCCCTAGTTAGGTCTCAGCGTGATTAAATACGCACTATGTGAACCGCCCAGAGA